TGGTCATTACTGAAATTAATTGTCTGCATTTTGGGATTTAAATTAACTGGAAGTTAGTGAATCACCTGCAGAGCTTTCCGCTCTGAGTGAGTGCAAAAACTTCTTTCCTTTTTCTACAGTCGTGTGTTCACATTGATACTCTGTACTAAGCCTTACCAGGAAAATAAGGTCTCACCTCGTTTCCATAACAAAAGTGAAGCTTGAGAAATCAAGTCCATATCTATTAACATGAACTAACGAGGACTAAACACTGAGTCATCTGAAGCAAGAGCAAAGCACCTCTAAACGTACTCAAACAAAAAGTGAAATCTAAAACAAACTAATTGGTTTATTTTCTCCAAATAAAGAAACTTGATGCGACTTATGGGGTTTATACTGTTAGCCTCATGCTGATGAGAAGTTTTGTGTAAAGCCAACTGTAGCAGTGAGTCCTGCATTAATGAAACGTGAGCTGAACTGAAAACAAATATTAAAACACCTGGAAAGCCTGACACACAAAAGTACCTTTACAGGTCGACTCTTTCCCATTTCAGATTAAATTAACAGCCTCTAATGATTTTCTAATAAATTAATCATGTTCGTTGAACATTAACACCTTTAATTTTAAGGGTTTTGCATAATTTATATTACCTGGTAGTAATTATCTCACCAATGTAGCATAAGGAGATGCCATGGGGCTAACTGGTTAGAGGACTATAAAAAGCTGATGTTGTCAAAGTTTTTATGTCCAAATATAACATAATGTTGGGTTTTTTTTTATTAAAGCAGCTCCATGTTGAAAATGAAATTAAAGAATATATATTGTTATAAACGAGCTGCCTGATTCTTCCCATGAGACTAAGAACATGATTTCCAGTGTTGTTTTCAGATTGTGAATTCGCACCATCATAAATCCAAAATAATTTCTCATCAGCCTTCAAAGAACTTGACGAAGAAGGAGCAGACCGAGTGCCAGCCCTCGCTGCAGTAAGCCTGCACCGGCTCCATGTCACCCTGCATTCCCTCCTCATCCTCCGCCTCAGTCCTTTCCTCCCTCCTCTTCTTCTTCTCCTCCGCCTCTTCACCTGCTCGCTTTGTCCCATTTAGTCTAACCTCTTGAACTTTGTAGTTCATGCTTATTTAGTATTTTGAAAACAGTTCTGCTTTTTGCTAATTTTGCCTGCTTTGTCTGAAATGAGCTGAAAGTGACCTTTATTTTCTCATCGGTTAATAATCTGAGTTTTCATCATGAAACCGAAATAGTTTAAAAAGTTTCCCTTTGCTATTGGTCAGACAGGCTGGCCTAGTATTTCAGAAATTCTTGGATTTTCTCACACAAACATCTCTGGGGTTTATAAAGAAAACATCTGGTGGTTTGGGGGAAGATGCCTTGAGAAAGGTCAAACTGCTTCGACCTGAAAGAAAGGCAACAATAACTGAGCAGGCAGCAAACATCTCTGAATGCATTACGTGTTGAACCTTGAAGCACATGTGCTACAGTAGAAGACCTCTCTGCCATTCAGGCTGCTGCTAGTGGTGTAATGGTGTGAGGGATATGTTTTTTTTAATTTCATTGTACTGGGACTGCACCACAGTCACTAGCAGAGATAGGGGCAGGGCAGTAATCCGATTACTTTTTTCAAGTTCAGAGCTTCAGGTTTTCTGTTGTTTAAGTTCGATGTCTTTATTCAGAAAATGCACATTTTCCATCATCATTTGCAATGATAGCGAATTTCCTGGAGATGGCAGTAGAGTGATGGACAAACATGAGAGGCCACACTGATTT